CTGCTTTTGCTTTCCATTGTTTTAGGTTGTTTTCTCAAAACAATAAACACTTTCTCTTCTCCATGGCCCCTGGTTTTGCCCTTTGTCCATTTCTTTATATATATCAATATCCATCTGCCCCTTCCGTTTCTTCCATCAACAACTCTCTCAAAATCTTGTCTTTCTCATCGTCTCCACGCCAACTTTCGATTTTTCTTGTGGCGTTTCTGTGTTTTGCTTGTTTTTAATCTCAACTAACTGTACATACTTGAAGGAGACATTGGTTGAATTGGTGTGTTGGTTTTGGTTTACTATATAGAGTTGTGATGACGATGGAGGGCGGCGTGGTTGAGCAAAGAAGAGAAAGAGTTGAGCATGTGAAGAAGGTTGGATATGCTCCTAAAGCTATCAAAAAGAAGAGATGTAGAAACAAAATTCAAAGATGTGTAGAGCCGAAGGTTCCTCGAGCGCTGCAAGAATTGTTTGTTGCGTGCAGAGATGTGTTCAAAGGCCCCGGCTCTGTGCCTGCTCCTTGTGATGTCAACAAGTTGTGCAAAATTCTTGGTAAATTTTTTGTTTTTGTTTTCAAGTCTTTTGTTTGATTTCATTTCGTTTTGAGTTGTTGGTTTTGTGATTTTTTGTGTTCTGTTATTGCATTTGCATGTGTTTTGAAATTGCCATGCATACTTTGATATATTTATAGTATTTTGAGCCTTTTCCTGTGTAAAGCTTGAAGTCAACGATTGTCACATTTGGTATAGAAATTTGAAATACTTGAATCTGAGAATAATTTTATAAAATTAGATTTTGATATTTGAAATTCTATTAAGCTATCAAAATTCTTGGTTAAGTGGTTCTAAGTTGTTGATCAGATGGTTAAATTGTTAGCTAATTTGCCAAATCTTAGCTACTTATGTGTTAACTAAAACCAATTCAGTCGCGTTTTCATGTTCTACTTGAACTCTTCCATTATTTTTTCCTAAATTATTTTAGATCATTCCTTTTTACCAAATATCGATGGATTCAACCACTCGATATTATAATAAGAGCTAGTAATCTTTCTCTATCAACCCTTTTAGCCTCATTCTTTAAGGATCAGAAAAATCCATTTCAAGTTAGATTTTGTTACTTCAAAATCTTGTTTCTTCTACTTCATTTTTAATCATGTAGGCGTTTATTTTATAAGAATTAATGGCTTGGAGCTATTTAACAACGAAATGGATAATGGGCTTGGCAAATTCTGATGGCTATAAGCTTAACGTTGGGCCATTAAAATTATCCCTTGAAGTTTCTATTAATCTGGTTACTATGGATCTGGGGAGTACTTTGTCGTTTCTCATTTGTAGTTTACTTTCCAAGTGCTATTTAAACAATTAAACTGGATATAGATGTAATGAATAGTTAGAGGAAGACAAGAGGGTGCAATTAAACAATTACTGTGGATATGAATTCAGATTTATGCCTGCTGGTATTGACAGATGGCACCTATTAATAGATTCCTTGGGCAAGTGTTAAGCAACAATACATATGGGTATTTTTTTAATCTTTGCTTTAGTTTATGTTTTTCTAATATTCAATAGGGTCTAAATCGCACTTAACTTTGCATTAAAGCAATGGGATACATTATAATATGGTTCAGTAATGTCAACTGATACTTTAACATCAACCAAAATGTGGAGTATTTTAGCTGATGTATATTATCCTGTAGATGATATGAATTTTAGCTGATATATATTATCCTGTAGATGATATGAAGCCAGAGGATGTTGGGCTAAGCAATAGGCTGCAGAAGATCTTCAGTGCTCAAGATGCAGCTAAAGGGCATCTAATGGAAGATGGAGTTAAGGGGTCTCCAATTGTGACATACACAACCATATACAAGTGTTCGAAATTTTCGGTAAGACTAGATAGTTCTCATTGGTTAATTAGTCAGTCTGTTGTTTTATATCTGCATATGAAACATAATGAAATGGCCCTTTTACAGTTCTAAATAGCCTGAACTGAAATTTGAATGTTCTTTTTTGAGTTTTATCATAGTATTTTTCCAAATTCTGCTCAAGTAATTAGCATTCTTTTTGTTATTCCTTTGTGCAGCTATGTCTTTTCTTTCTTCCTGCAACTGCTGTCATCCCCTTGCATAACCATCCTGAAATGACTGTGTTTAGCAAACTCCTCCTGGGAACAATGCACATAAAATCGTATGATTTGGTTGATCCTGTGAGCTCCCATGGCTCTCCGCCACATTCACAACGTGAGTATTCCTTACACAATCGAGTTTGCACACGCGCTCACACACACTTCACTCGCTACTCATACTAACTTGAATGAGGTAGAGAGGGATCATTTATGTACCAATGTTGCGATGTATTTGCAGCTAGATTGGCCAGGTTAGTAGCGGACAATGATTTCACAGCGCCTTGTGACACTTCTGTATTGTATCCAACCACCGGCGGCAATATCCACGAATTCACAGCTATTACAACGTGCGCAGTGCTCGATGTGCTTGGACCTCCCTATTCGAAAGCTGATGGTCGAGACTGCTCACACTACAAGGAGTTTCCATTCTCTGCATTTTCAAGTAAGTGAAACTTGACAATCTAAAGATACTAAACTAATTTCTCTTATCCAATTTGAAGTTATGAACAGAATTTGTAAATCATTCCTCAGTTGTGAATCTTAATGTATGCAGATGGAGAAAATTCAGTGAATGAGGAGGAGGGTGACTGTTATAGGTGGTTGAAAGAGATTGAAGTGCCAGAGAATTCACAGATGGATGAAATTGAGTACTTAGGTCCACAGATCGATGATAAATAGTAACTAGCTATCTCATTTTTCAAAGTTTCACACTATAATCTCTCTCTCTCTCTCTCTCTCTCTTTTTTTTTTTTTTCGTCTTAAGATGATGTTCTTTTTGTATTTATATGTAATACACAGGTATCTTTTTGCTGGGTTGAAATTTCACCATGTTGATTGTAAAGTATCTTTTCATGTATTTGATGTACAACACGATACACTTTTGTTGACGAAGAAAACAATGGCCATTTTAGGTCGCAACTAGACCATTAAAAGTTGTAGTTGATTATTTTTATTGGTTTTGAACAAAAAGATAAGATTGATACAAATTAGAAATAAGGAGTCAATTAGCCTTTGAAGTTTGAATAAGTCATGGGAGGCAACTTCTCCCATCTTTTTCAGCCTTCGTTTCTAATATTAATTCAGTCATTGAAAACGACCACTCTTGAGTATCGTTAAATGCCCTTTAAATTTTATAAACAGCTTCGTCAATATTATACATACATATAGTCCACAAGAAGTTTGTTTTTCCAAGTCAAATTGAACAAAATGGCTAATTTTATTTATATAATATTATTTCTAGAAGAACCTTGTTTTTGTAAGTCAATGACTTGGATGAAGACAAGTAAAAAATGGGCTGTCCACCATATTTTCAAGGCCCATTTGGTCGATTGTGCTGTACCAACTTAAAATTCGGAGTTGTTTTCCACTAAACTACTGATTCTTAAATAGTTTACCAATGGAGTTTCACAGCGTATGGAACTTTGGGCTTTTATTCGGTGTGAAAATGAATCATCATCAAATATTAAATTATTTCTTGGGTAAAGGGTAATATTATAAAGAATAAAAAATACATCCTAATAAGGGGATTACCCTTAAACACTGTAACCTTGGACAGGCCAAGGCACCAAACTGAAAAAAAAAAAAAAAAAAACACTGCCAGTGTCCAACGCGGGCACAAGCAAAAAAAGAGCCTAAGTGCTCCACCAATCACCTGATAAGTGTCTATACAAAAATCTAACCAGTCCATCACCCAGAGAAGCATGGCTGGAGTAAAAAAAACCCGGTGAAAATAAATATAAAATAAACAGTAATACTATACTCACAAACCTTTTTTACTAACTTTTTTTTACAAATGTAACGGCTAGTAATTGATAAGCTTATAATGGATCTAACAATGAGACCCGTCTAATCAAATATGGACTGACTAATTATAAACTATCACGTCAGAATTTGTGACAAAAAGTTGTGAAAAATGTTTGTTAACTTATCTTTCTTCGTGAACAAAACAAAACCTGTAGACTGACCTCCACAGCTGCAGCTACCAAACAAACCACGCAGAGAAATACCCACATTCCTGCTGTTAGAAACCTTGCAATTACTGAAACTGACAATCCAGCAACCAGCCAAACTAAGTCACAATCAGAACACAAACCCACTAAGCGGCCTGGAAAATGTCCCGATAATCGTGGATAATAACTCCCAAAAACCTGCAATGTCTCACCAAATGCACAAATAACTCCCGAAAAGGAAAAACAATGAAACAGCAGGTACATAAGTTAAGCCAGTTTCCACAGAGCCTCATCTGCCAGACCATAAGGAAAGGACACAGCCTCCTGATAGGCCTGCAAACACCAGCAGACTCCCACAAACGACCTCCCAAAACACTCCAGAAAAAAGCCATGGGCATAAAGAAGAGGTAGGCAGCAAGCAAGGGAACTGACAGTGTAGGCTAAGACATTCTACAAGCCTCCATAAAACCAGTAGCAAAAAAGGATAGAACCCCCCATCTGAGAATTTACAAAAGCAGCAGGGAGATGGAAAATAAGGAACCTTCATATGTACACACTAACAATAATGCTATTCAAATCTAAAAACACTCAGTAACCGCAGACGGGGAGCTTGTAATGACGGGTTAGCGAGACACGTCCCTCATGGAAAAGAGAGCAATTAGAAACAGAACACCTGCACAAAAGGACCATAGCGACAGCAACAGAAAAACCAGTTTCCTTTGGGAGCCAACTACTATCCCAGGACTAGTCTTCAATGTGGGCTGCTATGCCCACCCTATAAGGGTCTCCGGAACCCTTCCAAACACATAGGAACCAACTGCTAATGAAGACATACAAGAAGAAAACAGATTAGTTATCAGACTTGGTGCAGCTCAGGGGAAATATTAGTTACCAAATATTAAACTTGCCATGATGGAACTTGAGAAATTCGCAAGCAACATTTATCACATATGAAAAGATCAATACACAATCTTACATGGAGCCATCAGCCAAATAGTACTATATATACAGTAAAACAAACCCATAACCAGACACATTTATGTTCATCATTCAGTTTTCGGTTACATTCCTCTCTCACAAAGGAGGATTACAGGCAACGCTAAGGAAAAATAAAATAAAATTGGGGGCGGCATCCCAAGACCAGCTTCATTTCCTTCTGGAAAATGCACCAACATGCCCAATAGAACCTAAAAGATCTGCACAAAAGTGAAACAAGCTTAATTTCAGATTCATCGAGTGCTAAATTTTTTTCCAAGGCCTTGATAATCAAAATGAAAATTTGTCTTGTACACAAACAAAAATAATAATCATTTAACACCAAGGAGAGTAGAAAAGTCTGAAACTGTTCTTCTGTAATAAACATGGATTACCAATCAAATACAAGAACTATCTGATCAGTAAGCAGTTATTAAATAAATCCAATTAACATGTCATAGACCTTCCAAACTGAACTAAATAAACATCAAACAAGTATGTTACAATAGTAAAGCTCAATAACCAACATGATCATTAAAATGTGTAACCGAATGTAAAAGAATATATTTGATCTTTGTGAAAATTAAAGATGTAACCAATTTAATACATGTGTGATCATTGTCACATTCAAAGACAATAAAATAATTTGGAACAAACATTCTAGGCAAACTGCCAAAACTCATTCGCGTCTCTTTTCTAAGTCTAATTGTGCATCTATATGTACAAGCATACTTCAGCCCTTAAGGTCTAGTCAGAATTACACAGATAAATTAAACATACTAGAAATTCGGAGAATAGACATGGTTTTTCCCTTAGTACGTGGCACTGGATAGTATGAGATGATATGGTATAGTCTATCTCATGCTATGCTTTCTGAGATTTCTCATGATGAAGCTTGTTATGATATTTGCACATATCGTATGGTTTCTATCTAGCTACTTTAAAAAAATGTTACACAAAAATCATTCAAAGGAATAGGCCATTTGGTCAGGCTTGTCCTAATTGGCTTTTTCCTTAAATTCCAAATCCGTTCTTCCATTTCACAAATCAAGGTCAATTTCACACTTACCACAAGATTGATATTTATATAGATATCCTAGTGCAAACAAGTTATATATGAAGATCAAAAGGAAACAAACAAAAGTAATTATAACTCAAGAACCACAATCAGATGTTCAATCAAGATCAAGTTATTGTCAGTCATGTACTGTATATCTAAACCATGATTGCAATGAAATAAAAATATGTAGATAAAGAATTGCTACAAAGATCAAGTTATTGTAGACATATGTAGTACATCACAATAAAAGAAGAAAGTAAAGAAAACAAACAAAAGATGTAGCATGCTGGAGACCTCGTTCAAAGGAAAAACTACTCGGATATTGCAGAAGATCACATATTCCTTATTTATAATATCCTAAAATTGTGTAAACTGTCTGTGCAACAGTCGAAGCAAGTGCTATTATCGCAGCAACGAAAGCAATCGCACTCCAGGGGCTTCGGAAATATTCGTGAATAAATTGAGCCATCGAAGTCATGAATTTGTTGTCATAGCGTCTTTGGATTTTGCTTTTGACATCTCGATATATATTAGGATTTGACACTAAGTCTGTGCCTATCTCATTAAAGAGTTTAGCCACGTCTTCATCACTACCCAGAAAATTATGGAGTATTTGCTTATCTCGCAACTCTTTAACATCTTGGGCTTGATCAATGAGTATATCGAGAAATGCTACATAAGAGGAGACCCCAAAGTCATTTACAAAATCTGGACACATTTCGTAAGCGATCAAGTTCAAGAACTTGGATGCAGTTGAGTCGTCCACTTGAATAAAAGGAAGCCTCAAAGCTCCAAGATTAAAAGTAACGTCTTTCAAACAACCTGTGCCACTAGGCCTCAACCGAATCCCTGCTGCCTTAAGCTCCTCAACATTACGGAAAAACTGCAAATCATGTACTTGTGTACATGAGAAACAATTCTCAATTGGCTTAACAATGCACTCCATCAAGTTCTTAACCTTTTCAAGCGGCTCAGTTATGTATTCGGAAAATTTCTTAATTAGTTGTCGAACTATGGTGCATGGCATTTGGTTTTCCTTGACATCAATTTGGAGTAGTCCTGTTCGCAAAAGGTCCAGAAGATGCATTGGATTTTCATTTTGCAATGACTTATGTTCCAATTGCTCATGCTTCTCTCTTGGGGCCTTGATGATACCAAAGATGAACTTCTCAATTGATATTATCATCCGCGTTCGGTTACTCATGCAGCTTATTAATAATTTGAGGACTCGATAAGGAAGTTGGTTCTCCAATAAGAACAGATCTTGCTCTGCATATACCAAGTACTCAATTTCAATACCTTGTTCTTTGAACTCCTTAATCATGGTATCTTCCTTATCAGTCACTGCAAAATCTATATAATGAAGTAGTGCACATCCATCCACAAAAAACATCCATGCAAGGTCATCATCAGGGAATGGTGCAGTTTCCTTCTCCTCATAACACTCCCTCAGATATTTGATCTCTCTCCTAACTTTGGAATATAATTTTGTTTCATCCAAATTATACTTTTTGATGAATAGAGAAGCTAATTTGAGTTTTAGCTTTTCTGTGTTCTTCAAATTTGAATTATTATGATGGTAAGGACCGATTGCTATCATCCTTGGCACATAGTGCTTAATCAATTTTTCGTTGGCACGCAAGATAAACGGAACTTTTTGTATCTTCTGACGACAATTCACTTTCACTATGGCATCATCCAAAGATTCGAACTTCTGCACAGCACTATCAGTAATGAATGACCTGACTTCCTCCTCAGTGATGTCGATTACATAGCTCCGATCCTCACTGTCATTACTTGTTTGAGGTCTTTGTTCCCGCCGTCGACGAAAAGATAGAAACATTCGGGTGAAAGAGGGCCGTTCCTAAAATGAATATTATAAATTAGGCTTAATATTGAAGACAATGATATTGATATAGTAATTTGATCCGTTTTCTAAATAAAGAAATATTAAGCCACGCATAACTGAGTAGCAAAACTCTTTATTTATAGAAAAGAGAAAGTTAATATGTTAATTGAGTTCTTATTTCACATGGAATACTTATTTTTGAGATTGGAAACCAAAGTTCTGGAATATGCGCTTTTCGACCTATAAAAAAACTATGATTATCCAATTAGGTTCAGGTGTGAGAAAAGAGTTAAAAAGAGATAATAAATGGAGAACTGGGGAAAATTAGAGTTTCTTTTAAGGGAATTGAAAGTGTCGGCTGAGAGAAGGTGAATAAGAGTTAGGATTCAGGGTTTTTTTATTTTTTATTTTATAAGCTTGAGTTTGTTAGACTTGTGCAAATTGATTATCCATAGTTGGTGTACGAGTGTATGTAAGAATAGTTGTGCTCAACCACATAAATGCTCGTTTGATTAATTTTTCTTAAGTCTAATATTAATTATCTCTAATATTTCATTGCATTTATATGTATTTTCTTTTACATTATTATGTGAGTTTCAATTTATTTTTAATTTTATTATTTTTTGTATTGAAGTTTTATTAGTCTTCTGATTTTTTTTTTCCTTCTTTTACTTCTAATTTGCCATAAAATTCAATTAATTTTAACTGATTTGCCCACAATCATGATTCAATTTTTCCTTTACTCTCCTTAGTATTAGTTAATTGTTATCTCTATTGTTACTATAAAAAATAAATTTAAGGAATTCTTAATAAGCAATAATAATTATTATCTCTTTATATGAATTTTTAGTTTTCAAGTTTGACAATTATAATACCTCAAGATCTTACCAATGTTTTCAGAAGCCATAGTAGAAATCACAATTCATATAAAGAGAGAACACTTATTATAGCTTGCCACATGTTTGTCTATCCAACCAAATTATTTTTCTATTTTACTATTACGTGTTACTTTTTGATGTTAGTTGCTGTAAATTAGAGTTTTTGAAATAAAAAATAATCTTTTGATTTAAAACAAAATTAAGGAACATAAACTCTTTTTCTTATTACTCAATATCATATAGAAATTTAACCAATCAAGTAAGGCCGCAACTGAATAATTGGTCTTACCACATGTGCTTGTGTCCGAATGCGCGGTGTTGATTGCATCTCATCGCATGGTGCGAGTAGGTGCTGTTCCATTATAGCAGTAATTACTTGATCGCCTCCAACTGTTCCGCTTTGATTAGAAACTCAGCAGCTGTAAATGAGAGTTTTTAAAATAAAAAAAATAATATTTTGATTTAAAACAAAATTAAGGAATATAAACTCTTTTTCTTATTACTCAATATCATATAGAAATTTAACTCATGATTAAATATTAACCAGTCAAGTAAGGCCGCAACTGAATAATTGGTCTTACCACACGGTTAGCTCGTCGTTCTATTATAGCAGTAATTACTTGATCGCCTCCAGCTATTCCGCTTTTACGTTTTCCAGAACCTTGCTTGATGTAGATCTAAGAATGTTTAAACGGTGTGTCTGCACAACATGCAGTAGTGTTTTGATTGTTGATGTAGGCCTGAGGGTTTTTAATACTAACAAAAGTGACAAGGGCGTAGGAGAGGTGGTTTAAGGTGGGCTGAAGTTTTTAAAATCTATGGGGCCCGAACGACATCGTCCCACCTAAATTTTGCCCCACCGACATTTATTACCCAAAAAGTTTGAAAACAACAAATACTCACTTTCCGTGAAGATATTAGTAAATTCCGTTTGAAGGAGGACAATGTGATAATTTCTCATTCAGCCGGAAAATCTTGGAATTTAAAATTTCAGTTACAGTTGCTTGCTAGGTCAACTGCAACTGCTATCCCTCCCCCTCCCCCCCCCAAAAAAAAAAAAAAAAAAAAAAACTTCTTTTGCCTCTGGCCCTCTGCCACTGCAACGATGAAATTGAAAGCTCATTAGAAACCGCTTAACTGTTTCTCTCTTATGCCTTTTCACTTCTCTTTTTCCAACTCTTCAAATTACTGATCTTTTCACTATTTCCTGTTATACATATGCATATACATATATATATTGTTGGCATCCTCTGTTACTTCTATTTAATGCTCTTTCTTCTGAACTTCAGGACTTTTCTTTTCCAACCCTTCTCCTCTTTTCAGCTTCTCTTTCAGCCTGAGATAGCTCGACTCTTGGTCGGTTGATCTTGGTTTTCGGTTTCATCTTTGATTACTATCAGTTTCTGCACTGTTTGATTCAACTTCAAGATGTTTTTCTTTAGAAAATTTACACCATTGTTTGAAGTATATTGATGCCTGATATCAAGGACATGGATTTCTCTTTCCACAAACTTCCCTCTCTTTCTCAGGTAATCCATAACTCCATTAAAGAAAATATTTTTCTTCTTCCTTCATGGTTTTCTTTTCTGTTTTTGGCTCAAAGTGATTATTATTATTATTTATTTTTTCAGGTTGGGGAAGAACTAAAGGAGCTATGGGGGATGGCTTTGCCATAACAAGACTTTTCGTTCTCGATTTTGCTATCCTAGGTCAACTGTAACAGACATGTGACGATCATGCAACTGTAGTTGAAATTTTAAATTCAAAGATTTTTCGACTTAATATAAAATTACCACACTATTCTTCTACAAACGGAATTCGCTAACAGATCCGTACAAAAAGTAGTTATTTGTTGTTTTTAAACTTTTTGAGTAATAAATTATCGTTGGGGCAGAATTCAGTGGAGGATGATGTTCGACCAATCTATGGCCATAAGAAAAGTTTTCAAGTTATTAAATGAACCACTCAAATCTTATCTTATCTGATGAAATCTACTTCTATTATATCATATATGAATTGGTTTTGATTGTGAAGAGATTGAAGGACAAAGTGTTGATGGCCTAATCGGCTTTACCACTTTTACTTAGCCCATTCAAAGCTCCCAATTTCATGCTCAGCTTGTGCTTGTACTATTCGTCCTTTTTATCACTTTAATAATTGTCTCTTCAAACTCTTCAAACTATAATTTAATAAATATGTTAAATATAAAAGTCATAAGAGCTAACTAGCCCGGGGTGATCGGTTCTGGGTATTTTATATTTTTTGAAGGAATCAGAATAAAAACTAGAACAGGAATCGGCCAGTTCCTAAGATTTGGAATTGGAACCGAAACCGATCAATTCCAGTCCCTAGAAACTTAGAATCAAAACCTGAAGAATAGGTTCCGATTCTGGTTCCAGGTACCTAGGTTAATTTAAATTATCGCCTATATTATAAAAAATAACAAATACACCCTCAATAGTTTACAAAAATTACAATTCAGTCATGATTCCTACCATGGTATCCAGACCTCGGTTCCAGTTTCGGTTCTGATTCTAGCTCTAGGTTCCAACATTGTAGGAATCAGAATCGGACCCGGGAATTCTTGGTTCCAATTTTTCAAAATCAGAATCAGAATTGTGCCTTGATGGCACCGGTTTCAGTTCTACCCTTTACCAATGCTCGCCCCTATTATATTTCATATATATATGAGTTAAAATCAATTACCCCTTATCGTTTCTAACATGTCATTTTTGGACAACTATGACATTTTTAATCAAATTCCCCCCAATAGTTTCATGAATAAAACAAAGAAGGACTACTAACTCCCTCTAACTAGCTGTTAATAATTTACCCTAACTTGAGTAAAAGACTAAAATACCCTTTATAATAAAACCTATGATTTTCTTTTTCTCATTGCTCCCCCTCTAGTTCTTTTTCGTTTCTTCTTTTCTGATCCCCCATCTTCTTTCTTCTTCCCCTCTTTCTCGACTACCACAAAATCCATCATCAACCACCCAAAATTCCACCCCAAAACACATATTCAACAACCACAAATATTGCCGCTACCAGAAAACACATAATCAATCACCACAAAAACTCATCATCAATCACCTAAAATCCCAACACAAAACTCTATCTTGAATAACCACAAACAAAACCCATTCCCTCACCAAAAAACCAACCCCAAAGTCCACCATCAACCACCAAAAAACTCATTATCAACTACCTAAAATCACCCCAAAATCCATTGTAAAACCAATATTCAATCATCACAAAACAAACCTATCTTTAACAAATCACCACCACAAGACTAGATTGGTGGTTAAGGGAGAAGCTAATGGCTACCAAGAGAGGACCTCACAATGGCCATGTGAGCTCCTTTCATGGTGGCCATATGGTTGTCACTCATTGGGGAAGAAAGAGTGGGGTAAAGTGGGAAAGAAGAAAAAAGAAGAAAGGGGGGAGAGAAGAAGAAGAAGAAGAAGATAATATAAAAGAAAGGAGGAGAAAGAGAGAGGAAAAAAATGGGGAGAATGGAAAGAAAATGGGAAGGGAGAAAAAAAGAACAAGGATATTAGGGCTAGAGAATATAAAAATTGAAAATACTATTATGCCCTTTATACCCTAATGGACATTACACACTACTTTTCTTATCTCAACATCTCCTCTCAAACGAAATCTGGTCGAGGGTCTTCACTACCAGTTTCAGTCATCAGCAAAAAAAAAAAAAAAAAAAAAAAAAATCAGCAACTTAGTTCTGAAAGAATATCAGCAACTCAATTCTGCTCAGTTATGAAAGAATATCAGTAACTCAATTCTGACTCTTCACTACCAAATTCGCAACTCATCAACAAAAATATCAGTAATTCAATTTTGACTCTTCACTACCAAATACAGTCATCAGAAACTTCACCAACATTCATTATCAATTCTGAAAAGTGTTAGCCACCAATTCACAACTCAATTCTGACTCTTCACTACCAAATTCGCAACTCATCAACAAAAATATCAGTTATGAAAGAATATCAATAGCTCAATTCTGACTCTTCACTACCAAATAGAATATCAATAGCTCAATTCTGACTCTTCACTACCAAATACAGTCATTAGAAACTTCACCAACATTCATTATCAGTTCTGAAAAGTGTCAGCCACCAATTCACAACTTAGTTCAAATTCACAACTCAGTTCTGATTCTTCACTACCAAATTTAGTCATGAGAAACTTCACCAACATTCATTAACGGTTTCAATCATCAGAACACATCAGCCATCAGAATCAGTAACATTCACTATCAGTTTCACCAAACCTGGTTAGAGATCTTTATTACCAGTTTCAACCATCAGAAGCTTCATCAACATTCTCTATCGATTTCTGATTCTTCAGAACTTACTAGCCAATTACTGAACATCAGAAATATACTGCAAACTGGAAACACAAGTTGTAGAAATTGAAGCTGTAGATTTAAAAAAAAACTACATGTGCAAAATATGAAAAACACCACTCAATATTAGGACCACCAGTTGCTGTAGAAAGTTACTGTAAAAGAAAATCAGCAACCAAAACTCAAACTTGCACCATCAAGAACTATCATTTTTTGTCTGAGCTCACTGAATTGAGCAGCTCAGAGAGGTTTTGTTAGAAGATCAGCAATTTGAAGTTTTGATGGCACATATTGAACCACCAGCTTCTTGGCTAAAACTTGTTCACGAATGTAGTGTGCATCCAGTTCAATATGTTTGGTTTGTGCATGGAAAACTGGATTAGAAGCAAGAGCTCCAACACTCACATTATCACACCATGTCACTGGAGTTGTAGGAAAATTTAGACCCAATTCAGAGAACATATTTTGTAACCAGGCTACCTTAGTGGCAGTTTGGGCAAGGGCAGTGGCGGATCCAGGAATTTCACTCGATGGGGGCAAAAAATAAACAAAAAAATTTGAGGGGGCAAAAGTCAAAGTCTTATAGGGGGTAAAATGCAACTAAATATAAATACTTATACAATCTAAAGTTTTTTCAAGTTTGAGTGGGGGCCGTGGTCCCCACTCGTCATTAAGTAAATCCGCCACTGGGCAAGGGCTCTGTAATCAACCTTAGTTGAGGACAATGCTACCACTTTTTGCTTGCAAGAACTCCATTGAATGAGATTTGGACCTAAGAAAACACAACACCCACTTGTAGATGTTCAGTCATTAGGACTACTTCCCTAATCGGCATCAGCATAGCATTCAATACTTAAGGATGCTACTGGCTTAAAATGCAACCCAAAATGAAGAGTACCTTTGATGTATCTCAGGATCCTCTTGCATGCTTGCCACTACAGATTTATTGGGGCTTGCAAGTGTCGATTGAGCTTGTTAACAGGGAAATTGATGTTAGGACGAGTAAGGGTCAAATATTGAAGAGCACCAATAGTGCTTCTGTATAAACTGGGATGATCAAAGGCTGGACTATAAAGTGAAGATAACCAACAACCATTGGAGTTGAGCAAGCATGAGCTTCAAGCATATTAGTCTTCACAAGTAAATCAGTTGCATACTTAGTTTGTTTGAGATGAATTCCAGTTGGAGTTCTAGTTGCTTCCAAACCCAAGAAATACTACAGAGACCCCAATGTTTTCAATGCAAATTCATCATTCAGAGCTTTCATTAGTTGACTGATATAAGTAGGATTGGACCCGGTAATAAGAATATCATCAATGTACACCAAAACATAAGTGA